TGATTGACAAAGTAGAGTAAAAAACTTTTTCTGACATGATTTAAATCTAATTCAAAATAAAGCTTTTTCAAAAAAGAAAAAAAGAAAGATGCTTTTGGTGTTTTTTACTTAGACTTAGGCAAGGATAAGGTTTCTGAAACAAAAAGTCACTTGTAAATATATATCTGCTTAAAATGTCCATCAACTGCAAATATTTGAAAAAGAAACTATTAGTCTATTTAGTAACAATATATCAACAGCAGAAAAGAAACTTGAACAAAAACAATGAAGGTGACAACTGTTTACACTTTTCAACTAATGGGTTAAAGCAACTGTGAATGTTGCTGATGTAAACAGAAACTGCTTCAGAACAAGCAAGTTGATGAAGGCAAACATGATCTATTGAATGCTGAAACACGCAACACCGATGTCTAAACTCAAATAATTACCAGTAATCAAAACATCGTAAAAGGTCAACAGCTAAACTACACCTTTTCTTTACCTTCTGCACTGTCCACGACGGAACTTATTTGGTCCCAAAAATGACAACATTTCTTTAGGCTTTTACACTGTGCTAATTGGTTTCTGCTGAACCTATGCAAACTCAAGCGGAAAACGGATACTTTGCACTTAATGGTAGAAAACTGACTCAATTATAAAACATCACCCAACTGTTTCACAGCGTCACCATAATACAACATACAAATAATTCGGTTGATACCTCTACACTCCACGATCAAACAACAACATTGCAGTACAACATTACTGTAAGCAGCAAATTATCTTTTTTTTTTCTTAATATGAACCACACTGTTCAAATAAATATCACTTACTTTTATCACTTACTACTTTTTCCTCCTCTTCTTCTTCCCTCTTACTAGTTGTGCTGCCTTCATATTCAGTTTTTGATTCGTTCTTATTGCGCATCCAGTTAATTATTTCACGTGCTATAAATCAGTAGTTATTTGTTGACAAAACGTGACTCTTTTTGAACTGCGATTTAAGCTATTACTTAGAGTAGGAAAAGGAAGATAAGATTACTGACAGGCAGTATTAGTTACTCATACTAATAAGTAGTATCAGTTGTATCAATCGAAAATGAGAAAATAGTTTTGAAAGATTTTTCCCCGATAATTTACATAGCTCTCCGTCGCAACAAATCATTTGTTATCGAGCACTAATACTGACTTCCGTTAATTGCAAAAGTTCCCTGAACCTACCATTTCGAACTCCGAGAAGAGTTTCTATTTCTTGCGCCTCCTTCTCGTCTTGGCTTTGTTGCCGTCGAAGAGCCACCTGCGCAGCCATCACTCGTTGTCTCTCAGCAATCAAAGTACATTTGTTGCACATGCAATCCTTCCATCTACAGTATCGCTTATGACCTGAAAAAATTGGTGATATCAGCCTTCAAATAAAAAAAGATAATAAATATCATTTATGCGTAAGAATACAGATACCTTTAAGTGCAGAGACAGTGCCATGATTTCTGCAACGAGCACATTTAGGAGTACGCTGATTACGTTCCTGACGTATGCGCAGAAACTGCTCAATTCCAGATACATCCAAACCATTCAGATTAAGATTTGGTAAGGCGCTAGCCATTCATAAATGTTGACTAAAAAATGATAAACACTGTAAAAAGACAGCAAAGTTATAACTAATCAGCACAAGACACCAATTAATTATAAATCCCGTAGATTCCAGATAACAGCTGAGAAGGTCGTCAGTCATTAAAATTCTAACAATTAAGAGCCTGAGAAGTAGGAATAAAGAAGAAGTTGAGCAAAAGCAAGAGAATGTAAGGTAGAAATTATTTTTGACTATTAAGAAGGTTCTACAGTAACAATTAGTAAACTCAGACATTTTGGTCTGCGAAGTTTTTGTAAAGTTCCTACGGTTTTTTTTTTTCAAGTCATTGCCGTTTTAAGCTTTGAACTTTTTCTGCCGTTTAAAATTAAATGACAGTTGTCAACAGTCTCCGCTCTATCTGTAAGTCGTGGATGTCATAAACGTTTTAGCAAAAAAGAAGCAAAAAAAAAAAAAAAGGATTTATTGTGAACAGTTGTAGAAAACAAACTCGTCATCACAGTTTGTATTACAAAACAACATCTGAAGACCAGAACAAAGCAAAGAATAGTTGAAGATATCGGCTAAAATAATGACTTCTTAGCTAGTGTTACAGAGTGGGCTAAAAGTTAGGCAGAAAGCATTAACAATAACAGTCTCCGGATCTGTCAGCCTTTATCCTTCCGTTAGCGCCGCCCTTTGATTGCTCAGTGGCCTCTGTTCCATGCGCCGTGGTGGCGTTTGGTTGTTGTTAGAAGCGCTAGGAGCTGAGTATACGGTAGCCATTTAGACGATAACAATGTGTTTTGGAGCCAAGTTTAGGTCGGTTACAACGCTGCTAAGCTGCGGTCAACGGCAGCAACCTTGGATACAACAAATGAATCACTTACATTGCAGTGTCATCAGTATCTAACCTGCTGTGTACAACAATATACTTCTTTCAAATAGTATTTATCAGTTTTTTGAGTTAAAACAAGTTAGCAGAAATGAAAAAAAAAAACTGCAGTTTATCTTTTTTACAAAGATTTTATTATCACCGCTCATATTTTATTATGATTTCATTTATACAAAAAAAAAAAAAAAA